GGCCTCTCACCGTTGTGGCCTCTCCCGCTGCGGAGCACAGGCTCCGGACACGCAGGCCCAGCGGCCACGGCTCACGGGCCCAGCCGCTCTTTGGCATGTGGGATCCTCCCGAACCGGGGCACGAACCCATGTCCCCTGCATCGGCAGGCGGACTCCCAACCACTGCGCCACCAGGGGAGCCCCCCTTTTCCTTTTTTAAATTGAGTTAATTTATTCACTTATTTATTGCTATTGAATTGTATGAGCTCCATATATATTTTGGATATTAACCCCTTATCAGATATATGGTTTGCAAATATTTTCTTGTATTTCATAGGTTGCCTTTTCACTTTGTTGATTCTTTGGCTTTGCAAAAGTTTTTAGTTTGATGTCATTGCACTTGCTTATATTTTTTAATAAATTTATTTATTTATTATTATTTTTAATTTTTGGCCACGTTGGGTCTCTGTTGCTGCACGTGGACCTTCTCCAGTTGCGGCGAGCGTGGGCTACTCTCTGCTGCGGTGCACGGGCCTCTCACTGTGGTGGCCTCCCCTGTTGCAGAGTGGGCTCCAGGCACGCGGGCCTCAGCAGTTGTGGCTCGCGGGCTCCAGAGCGCAGGCTCAGCAGTTGTGGTGCACGGGCCCAGTTGCTCCACAGCATGTGGAATCATCCCGGACCAGGGCTCGAACCTGTGTCCCCTGCACTGGCAGGCGGATTCTTAACCACTGTGCCACCAGGGAAGCCCCTGCACTTGCTTGTTTTTGCCTTTGTTGCTTTTTCTTTTGTTGTCATATCCAAAAAATTAATTGTAAAGACCAAAGTCAAGGAGCTTTTTTTCTTTGTTTTCTTCTAAGAGTTTTATAGTTTCAATTCTTACATTTAAGTTCTTAATACATTTCCAGTTAATTTTTGTGAGTGGTATAAGGTAGGGGTCCAGTTTCTTTCTTTTGCATATGCATAAATGTCCAGTTTTCCCAACACCATTTATCAAAGAGATTATTGTTAGCCCATTGAGTATTCTTGCCTCCCTTGTCAAATATTAGTTGACAATATATGTGAGGGTTTATTTCTGGGCTCTCAATTCTGTTCCATTGGTCTATGTGTCTGTTTTTATGCCAGTGCCATACTCTTGATTACTACAGGTTTGTAATATTTGAACTCAGGATGTGTGAAGCCTCCAGCTTTGTTCTTGCTCAAGATTGCTATGGCTATTCAGGGTCTTTGGTAAGCCCACTGAATTTTAGGATTTTTTTTCTATCTCTGTGAAAAATGCCATTGGAATTCTGAGAGGGATTGCATTGAACCTATCAGTGACTTTGAATAGTGTGGATGTTTTAACAATATTAACTCTTCTGATACATGAATGTGGAATATCTTTCCATTTATTTGTGTCTTCTTCAATTTGTTTCATCAGATCTTACTGTTTTTGGTATATAGATCTTAGTTTTTATCCTGAAAGTTTACTGAATTCATTTATTATTACTAGCCATTTTTTGTTTTCGGTGGAGTCTTTAGGATTTTTTACATACAAGTACAGGATCATGTTAAGAAACCCTTGTCTTGTTTCTCATCTTAGAGGGAAATCTTTCAGCTTTTTACTGTTGAGTATGAATGATGTTAGCTGTGGGTTTGTCATATATGGCTTCTATTATGTTGAAGTATGTTCCTTCTAGACCCAATTTGGTTGAGAGTTTTTATTATGAAAGAATGTTGAATTTTGTCTGCTGCTTTTTATGCATCTATTGAAAAGACAATGATTTTTATCTTTTATTTCATTAATGTGGTGTATCACATTCATTGATTTGCATATGTTGAACCACCCTCGCTCCCAGGGATAAATCCCACTTGCTCATGGTGTATGATCCTTTTAATGTGCTGTTGAAATTGGTTTGCTAGTATTTTGCTGAGGATTATTGTATCTATGTTCATCAGGGATATTGGCCTATAGTTTTCTTTTCTTGCAGTTTCCTTATCTAGCTTTGGTATCAGGGTAGTGGCTGCATAAAATGAGTTTAGGAGTGATAGATTCCCTAAATCAGTAAATCAGATATTCAGATACAAATGACGAGTCCCTGGTCAGGGAACTAAGATC